CACCTACCCAACTGTGGCCCGTTTCTCAGTCTGTGTCCCAAATAACATCTTAAAAATCCAATCTAATCGATTCACTTTCTCACTGCTTAGGCATTGCATTGATTGCTCTTAGAATAGAGTTTTACTTTGTCTAACATGGTTTACAGAGCCTCCCCTTCCCCGAATTCTGACCTCTGCCTGTCTCATCTCTCACCACCGCCACCTTGTTCTCCTGACCCTGTGCTTCGGCCAGGCTGGCATTATATCAGCTCCTAGAACATGACTGGGGCTGTCTTAGCCCCCAAGCCTGCTGTTTTCTCTGCAACTCTTGTTACCTGGCTCAGAGTCACAGCTCAGCTCAGAATTCTCTTTCTCCTGGGACTGGGTTTGGAGCCTTGACTGGCTCTTGTAGAGTGCTTATGTGCCTGCCCTTCCCGTAGCACTGGTCACACCTTGGGACTGATGTGTATGAAATAGTTTCCCCGCTGCACTGGACACTCCATGAGGACAGGTGATATGCTTTACTCACTGCTCTGGCCCTGCCTCTAGAAGAATGCCTGACACATAGTAGCCACCCGTAAATATTTGTTGAATAGAATGAAAAGTGAATGAAGGAATGAAGTAGGAGGCAATCCAGGGTATCAAAGACTGTGGGAGTGGAGATTATGAAAAGGAAGATGCAAATGGAATGAAGAATTCAATTATTAAGAGCCAAAAGATCCTTGAGGTTTAACTCCCAGCAGCTTATTGTTGAGTTTAGCAGGGAGGGTTTCAGTAACATAGTGGACACAAAAGCCAGAGAGTCGGAGACTTACAAATAAGTATTATTTTAGGAAGTGAACACAGCACATAAGTGTGACTATAAGTGGAGCCAAGATAATAGTAAGACTAGGAAGGAGTGATGGCCTGAAAGAGTCTGTCATCTGCTTGTCTTTTTTCTTAACTTAGTACTGGAAGGACTTGGGCCTTCTCACCAGTTTATCTACTGCATTGTCCTGCTTTCCTTATATATCAAAGGGAAAAGTTCTAGAAATATTTCCTACTGCAAAGTGAAATGAAATGCTTTTAAAAGCTTGATCTATTTAATTTTTTTTTTCAATTTTGGGAGAATTAACTTTTTTTAGATTTTCAGTCTGCCTAAAAAGTAAGCTGCGTTCTTGACATTTGTTTACGAACATGGTTGCTATAGTTTGTACTGGAGTATGCAAACTTTATCCTTACTAAGGCCCTTTGTTTTGAAGTTTTCAGTTCCTTTCAGCATGTTTTCAGTTCCTTTCAGCAACTCTTAAAAATCTGGACCTTGACATTTCATCTTAAAACACTTATGTCTCTTTTTAAAATTGATTTTAGAGAGAGAAAGAAAGGCAGAGAGTGAGAGAAACATTGATTTGTTGTTACATTTACTTATGCATTAATTAATTGATTCTTATATGTGCCCAGTCCACTAAGTAATTTAACTACCCAGTCACGTTCTCATATATCCTTTTTAAAGATATATATTTTATTGATTTTTTTACAGAGAGGAAGGGAGAGGGATAGAGAGCTAGAAACATTGATGAGAGAGAATCATCGACTAGCTGCCTCCTGCACACCCCTCACCAGGGATGTGCCGCAACCAATGTTCATGCCCTTGACTGGAATCGAACCCGGGACCTTACAGTCTGCAGGCTGACGCTCTATCCACTGAGCCAAACCAGTTTAGGCGCTTATATATCTTTAAGCACAGATTTTTGCATGACTAGGTGCTAGGTCTGACATTGATCATTAGATATATGGAGATTTAGTTCTTAGGTTACACACACACACACACACACACACACACACACACATCATTTCTAATTTAAGATCTGCTCTTGTAAAACATGCTTTGTGTGTCAGAGTACCTGTGGGGTGTTTTCCTCGGGTCATTTTACTTGTAGAAAAAAGAAAAGAAAAGAAAGATTTTTGTGCTTAAATCTCTGAGAGTTGACACGATGAAGAGGCCCCTTACCCGAACAGTAAAGCATCTCGGTTATTAATATGAGGCCAATAGCTGGACCATTATTCTCACCACAGTAGTTAATCACTTACTACTAAGAAGGAGAGAGCATTCAGTATATTTGGAGGCTGTTTAATCATCAACTTTGGGAATGGCAAATATTTCCCTGGATGTCTGAGAACACACAGGGCCACTGTTTGCCAAGCCTTTGCCACCAAATTTATTATTATAGTTAATGTGTTTTTTCCTTCACAGGTTACTCTCATATTTATCACAAGCTGTGTATTAGGTTGCAAGTGACCAAGTCATTTGTGAAGTTACCACTAGTGTTGCATGTAGAAAACATCACTGGTTGGGTTGAGGAACCCGTTCTGTCTTCCTGTCAGGCAAACATAAGACAAACATAGGTTTCCAAGGTATCAGCACCACGTGCATCTGTTTCACCGTGTAATTTCATCAGTTGAACAGATGAAGAATGCTAATTAGTTTGTTTATACATGTGTGATTTAATGAGACTAAACACCTAACTGATCTTGAAGTACGTACAACTTTGTTTCCTGTTGCTGTTTTTAGTTTAATTACAAACAGTGTTAGGCACATTTTCTGGAAATTTTAGAACTGTGTGATAGGGGAGAATCTCAAGGAAGGATGGGTAGTCAGTTGTATCCTGCCACAGTGAGACTGAATAGGAAGATGAGAATTAAAATATCCAGTTTCAGGACATGAGTTGAAATCCATTGTTAATGAGAAGATTAAGCTAATGAAAAACTTTATCCTAAATGACATTATAGCAAACTTCTAAATCCAGTATTAAAGTTCTAAGAATAACTTACTTTAGGAAGTAGTTATATACCTTCATTACATTCAACCTATAATCAGAATTCTATTTTTTATCACTTTGCCTTTTATTTGAATACCCTAAAAAATTCTAATGATTCTTCCTCTAATTTTTTCTTCTTGTGATTGCTGTAGCTACATCAAAATATAACTGAAATCATGGCATTCAGTCATTATAGCTCTTCTTCCTGGAAAGTAATATAAAATAATGTTGTTATGTTTATTATAAATTAATAATTATTTAATGCCTTCTAGAATAATCTCTTTTATTACTTTCATGTTGTGCAAAACTGGATCTGCAGAGGTTGTTATATTTTGGGAGATGAGGAAGTAATTTGTCCTATTGTCAAAATTATATTTGGATTAAAATGCTTCAGTTAACTTATTCAGCTTTGAACAACCAGGGGCCAGAAAACTACAACCTATGTATAATAGCAAATCTACAGCCTGTTTTTATTGAAGGACATCCGTATTGATTCCTTTGCAGCTATGGCCTTCATACAAAAATGACAGAACTGAGTCAGTGATAGAGACCTACTTTCTGGCCCTTTATAGAAAGGCCTGCTGACCACAGATCTAAAACCTACATGAGGATAGGAAGTAGTAAATAGTGGTAGAGTTAATCTGATATGCTTTAAAGCCTGAGAAACAAATTTTTGTAGAACTGAGTCTTCCAAGGAATGCAGTTGAGAGCTTTAAATTTTTAGGTCTTTCGGAGTCTAAGTAACCATTCCACCTATTGCCAAATTGCCTCTGAGACACTCAGTAGCCCTCTGAGATAGCTCCCTATTCTATTCTGGCAGAATGTTTTCTGCTCCTGAATATATAGGATCTTCCTTGTACCTTCTTAAAGATTCATAAATTACGTATGATCACAGATTTGGGGTATGACTTTGAATAAAAGAGAATACTGACAGCTTCTTTTGGTCTGTCAGCATCCATCAACTTCACCTACTTAATAGCCATGAGACTCCAAAGGTTGTCAGATGGTGAATTTAGGTTTCCTATTTGTTTCAGTTCAGAAAATGAATTTTCCATTGCTCTAAACTTACTAGATAAATCACCTGCGACAAATTAAAAGCTACTGCTTATGCATATTAAGAATATATTAAGAGCATTAAGGCACATAGGAAAGAAAAGAGCTGAACTCTAGTTCTAAAAGACGGAAGTATAAGGCTCTATCCTGGATAATTCAAATTCCACCAGCCAATGAACAGGAGAATTATGTTCTTGTTGGCGCTTTAATATAAACTTGTAAGCCACCTTTAAGATAAACTAATCCTAGTTTCTAAATTAAGCCTTATTATTTAGAAACTAGTATAATTTGTGCTTGAGTTAATAGAAAATGCATTGGCTCTGGAGTGAGATGGACCTGCATTTGAACTCGAGCTCCATCACTTTCTAGCATTTCACACTAAAGTAAATGACCTAAACTTTCAAGCATCTGGCTCATTGGGAATAAGAATATTTGTGTCATATGGTTGCTATGAGGATCAAACAACTCCTGTGAGTCTTAAATATAAGTACAGAGTTCCCAGGCATATAGAAGGGGGAGAGTAAACATAGGCTCTTTCCCACTCTTTTTTTAAATGTTTTCCCCCCCAAGAACGATGAACCCAGTTAATCAAGATCATTAGAATTGTTGATAAGCTCAACTTACAACCAGTGTTTCAGTTCTGAAGTATATATTCAATGTTTTAGATCTGAAAAAATATGAACTTAGGCATCAAGTATATGTATTTGGATATGTTTTGGGAGACATTAGTTCATGCTATTCTGATTTATCAGAAATGATAGCATAGTGAGAATGTCATAGTATGAGCACTAATTAAACATACCTTCCGATTTGGCTTCTGTCTTAAAACCATACTATTCCACCAATGCGGAATCAAATTAGCCCAAAAGGATTATAAAAATGGACACCAGTAGCTTGTGTAAATAAGGGCATTTTGGAGAAAACTATTTTCCATTTGAAAAATATTGAAATATTAAAAGCAAGTATTTTACTAGTGTACTAAAATGCACACATATTATAGATCTTTACCAAATGTTCCATCCATTTTATAATTGAAATTCCCACCAGATTTTTTTTAACTTGAAAAATGCAATATGACTATGTGTTCTTTGCTTTTTCACACCATCTTTTTCTGTTTTCATAAGTTCACTAAGTCACTTGCTCTCTGATCTGACTTTCTACTGCCCATAGACACTCCCATCGCCAGTGTCCTTGATCTGATCGTGGCTTCCATTTGTCCACACAAGAAGAGCAGCTCGCCAGGACGAGATCCACAGCAGGGTGACGCCACGGACACCATGTTCTGTACGAAGCTGAAGGATCTCAAGATCACAGGGGAGTGTCCTTTCTCCTTACTGGCCCCAGGGCAGGTTCCTAAAGAGCCAGCAGCAGAGGAGGTGGCGGGGAGTGCAGAGAGCTGCCCAGCCTCCCTGCCAGGAGTGGACGTCTGTCAGGATGCCCCCGAGAAGAAAGTGCAAGGAACTCACCCTCAAAGAAAGACCAGTCGGAGCCGAGTCTACCTTCACACTTTGGCAGAGAGCATTTGCAAACTGATTTTCCCCGAGGTGAGTGCTTGCTCTGTTCAGGATTTTACTGATGTTTTAAAAATTGTAAAATGATGGTTTTCTAAGGAAAATGTAAACACGTGCTTTCTCACTCTCAAGTCTCTGATAGATGTTTCCTGGAAACACAGAAAAGCATTCCTTTAAAGCAATCATCGTCTTAAATTGTGTTTCTCTTAAGATGTTTAACATCTTGAATTCTTTTCGAAAGGATCCTGCACTCTGACAAGCTTTTGAGCAACTGCTTAGTCCCTTAGCACCAGTTTCCTTATCTGTAAAATGGAAACAATATTAGTCTCTGTGTTGGAGAGTTTTAATGTACATGAAGTGATCCTTACCTCTTCCCATACCATAATTGACCAGTAGTTGTCAACTATTATTTTCAAATCAAGTTCCTTGAAGAATAGCTTCTTTTCTGTCATGTTTTCTTCTTCTAAATCCAAAGAGTAAGATGTATCCCCTGATAATTTGTTGAGGTGGGGAAATCTCCCTTTTCCTGCTGTGTCTGAGTCTGAAATCTCTGTTCGGGCCAGGCTTGACCTGGTCCTCGGTGTCAGAGTTGTTAGTTCAAACACTTCTTGAAATAGCTCTGTGAGCTGCACAGCCTAATATCATTTTGAGATATGGAGCATCTTCTGTTAATCTACCGGTGACAGAACACTGGGAATAGAGCATATACCTTATTAGGTCAAATATTTTAGGAATAGAAGAGGCATGTAGAGAGCTCCTCTCCCCCTGCAGGGCTAAAGAGAATAGCAGCTGAAAGTCTCCATGGTATCTTCTTCCCTCCATCCGAGTTCAGTTTTATACAAACTCACATAACCTAGGAGTCGAACATTGATAGAATTAGACTCCATCTATCATAATCCACCGGCAATTTTTAATTGACTCAATACCAAAGCATTGAAGAACCACATACTTGCTGACTTTTAGGAGTAAAAGGAATTTCAGAGGTAGTCCCCAAGGACTAGGGGAGCTAAGTAACTTGATCGAAGTCACACAGCTTTTGAAGACTAGAGCAATTTCTGCTATCAAACAATATGGGCTCCAGTGAGTGAGAAAGAAGAATCTTGAATTGAAGCTTGAAGTAGAATTAACTGAAAATTGAAGGGACTAATTTTGAATATAGTATCATCACAAAAATACTTTGCCTTTGAAATAAAAATACTTAATTTTCTTATCCTACTCTAGTCACCAGAGAGCGAGCTTTGGCTGGGATGAGGGTCGTAGCCCTTGTCAGGGATTTGGTTGACATCCCAGTATGGGGAGTGGTTGGTACTTTCATTTCCAAGGAAAGAGTGAGGTGCCCAGAGGGGAACAGATGGGGATGATGGGGATGGCGGAGAATCCGGAGAGCCTCCATGTTTCTCCTGAGTCTTGTCATTACCATGTTGGCTTCATTATTTTGTCTGACAGATTTTGAGTTTCTAAAGTAGAAGTCACCCAGATGCTAAAACATTCCAAATACTAATATAAGTGATGTTTTACTGTACTCTTTGTCTTTGTTTAGAGTAATCTCTGTTGTTTGTGAACTCATAGAAGTAGTCATTAAGGTTTGATAATGCTGTCAGGTAGTAGACGGAAAGGCAAGGCTATAAGAATTCTAAGGGGTAGAAGGGGTACAGTTGCTATTATTCACAAGAACTCCTCTATGACAATTGAGGTCATTTGCCTTATAACAGTAAATGGCCTAATGTTGGATACATTTGGACTGAGTAATAATAATCTAGACTATTCCATCAACTGCCCAAACATCTGCATGCCTTTAATTAAACAGCATTTAAAAAAAATGTTAAGGTAGACATTTAATTCTTCTACTGTTTGGATAACAATTCTATCTGTTATCCAAAGGAAGAGATTCAAAATACCATTGGATAGACTATATTATAGTTCTCATTTTAGATAATCAGACATCATTACCTGATTTGTTGTTTTGGCTAGAGTATTAAAATCCACAAACCTGCCAGTCTTTCTTTCATCCTGAGGCAGACATATCCTCCCTCTCTTTATCGGACCAGTCAGAGAAGCTGTTCAACATTGTACATTTAAGTTTTCTTTTATTTCTTTTCGGCACTTGCATTTTTTCCTAAGAAATTTTAAATCTTTCTGAAGCTCTATAATGGAAGTCCCCTTCATGACTTATTTTATTAAATCAGAAGCTTGGTCTATTTTGCTGAACTTCACTGCCTCCCTTAACCAGTGGAAACTCTAAGTGAGATATAAATAGTGCTTAAGGAGAAAGGAATTTCCCAACTTGGAACAGAGCCAGAAAAGTCACCACTTTCCTCTGGGTAAACTACAGAAAGAACTAGAGGTTATGTATATCATGTAGGTACATATGATTTTTATATGCTCTGCCAAAAAAAAAAATTGGTAGCTCTATTTACCAATGCTCTCCTTCCCTTTATTAACTAGAGACAACAAGCTGTTAAGAAAGATTGAGAGCCAAGTATTTAAAAAGTATGGAGGCTTATATGCAATATCTTGAAGGAAAATTTATGAAATCAATAAAAGAGAGTAAAATTATTTGTGTTTGGTGAAGATAATTAGTTCAAAGAAAGGAAATAGTACAAATTAGGGGAAATCCAAGATTTGTTTCAAATCAGTGATCAACTGATGATGGTAACAGATTGGATGCAAAGGATAAAAGAAAGGGAGAGACAGATAATGCTAGAGTTTTCTAGACCTGAGGGTGTAAATGATACTTGAAACATAAATATGCATGTGGAGTTAAGGGCAAGGCGTCACTGACATGGCTGGGTGTGGGATTTGTGACAGGAACTAGGGGTTGGCTTGGCTTGAGCTACACTGACATATTGGTAGCTCATCCAAAGGGGTTTCCTGACCCAGAGGAAGTGATACCCAGAATTCCTTCATGGAAGACCTGACTTGGCCAAACTCGAATCTTCTATTTCTATTGCAACTCACCTTGACCTTGGTCTGTGGCTGTCAGGGAAATCACCCATGGCTGGTAAAGCCTGAGGCCCACAAACTCACATCCAAACTCAAATTAGTCTGAGCTCATTGCTTCTTCCGAAGTTTGAAAAACCCATGGAGAACTAGTCCCACTTTCCAAAGTGTACATTCATGACACGTACTGTTACAGCGATAACATAGCCGCTTCTTCACAAGAAACTTTCAAGGAGAAGGATTAAAACATATGGTCAAGTAAATTATTTAAGGAAATGTTTACAACTTTTCTTTTTCAATTTTCAGTTTGAGCGGCTGAACTTTGCACTTCAGAGGACACTGGCAAAACATAAAATCAAAGAAAGCAGGTAAATTGAGCTGTTTTATTTGTGTGACCTTCTTACTACCATCTCTGAGGCCACTACAAATAGCCAACCCTTGCTGAAAGTATCCATGTATTTTAAATAATTACACTATGCCAAAAACTGGACTGTTTTAGCTGCTACTATTCCAAAAAACAAGTGCATTTTCACATGTTATGCATCACTAAGCTCAAGTTTATGTAAAATGTTTAGGATTTTCTAGGGATTTAGGAAAAGGCAGAACTGAGTTTCCAAGCTGGGTTTTTTCAGAGCCCATGATTTTAACGTTGTTGCTATCTAATGCTGCTTTGAACAAGCTCCCATAGGCCTCTTCTTTCCTACTAAAACATGGATACCAGCCCTAATCAGTTTGGCTCAGTGGATAGAGCGTTGGCCTGTGGACTCAAGGGTCCCAGGTTCGATTCTGGTCAAGGGCATGAGCCTTGGTTGGGGGCACATCCCCAGTGAGGGTGTGTAGGAGGCAGCTGATTGATATTTCTCTTTCATCAATGTTTCTAACTCTCCCTCTCCCTTCCTCTCTGTAAAAAAAGATAAATAAAACATTAAAAAATAAAATAAAATAAAATAAAATAAGATATGGATGCCAAACACTCGGTGCACACTCCTTGAGTGAAGAATACTGCTAAAAGGTTGAAGCAGGGTTCCTGTGCCCCCTCTGTCCCCACTTCTCCCTCCTTGCAGATTAGATTTTAGGTGCTGCATTAGGAGAAAATGAAATGGAAGAAGGATGGGGGAGCAGGGGCCGGGAGTGAAGGAGTGGATTCAGGGGCCTTGGGGAAGCAGCTATTAATATTTAGGAAAATTTTTAGTATTTTAATAACTAATATGGTTATTCTGGTGTGCACTGGCTAAATATCAGTTCTGTTCATACTTTTTTTCTTGTACTATGTCTTTGAAATTTTATTTAAGCTAGCTTCCTGTAGAGGCTTAATCTATAATAAGCTAGCTTTCTGTAGAGGCTAAATAGATAAGGTAATTTTAAAAAGTAATCTAATTTATATAGTTAATTTTTCAACTATATCTTGGTGCAGTCACTGTTGGTGGATAATTTTACTTGGCCTTGTTTTCGATCCTCTCAAATGCCAAGGACTATTCAATCTGCCAATGGTAGAATAAATACTGGAGTTCAAATTTACAGAGTTGAACATTGAAATTTTGCAAACAAACACCATTGTCAGAGGTATTTTATAACTTCATTCATCTCCCTGCTATTCATGAGTGAATAATCTGTTCTGTGGATTATCTGCGCTTAATTTTCCTTGCTGACTAACTGGTCCCGGACTGCAGGCAGCAGGCTGCCAAGAAGAGGTCCCAGACAGCCCCAAGGAGAGAGAGTGAATTCGTGTGTCTGACAGAAGCTTTGTTTACAGGAGCGATATGCAAAGTATTCCAGAGCCCCTGACCTTGATTCTCAGTCAGGCTGATAAGATAGCCACAAGTCATCCTAGCTGTGCTACTGTGTCTGTCTGCCTAAGTCCCTGACAGCCAGTTTACACAAAATCTCAGTGCTTTGTGTTCTGAATGTTCCTAAGCTAGAGGCAGACATTCCTTCAGGATGTGTTCCTAGCAGCATATCTCTTTTAAAGACCTCAAAACTAAAAAAATATTAAATAAAAATATTTTATTTGCAAATATTGAAAAATCTTTAACCACTTTCTGACTTTTTATAGCGCTGATCATACTTCTAAATTGTCCTAGTGGTAATTTTCAGTTGTTGAAATAAGATGAGCCCCCCCCCCCCCCCCCCCCCCCCCCCCCCTTTTTTTTTTTTTTTTTTTTTTTTTTTTTTTTAACAAGAGTGCCTGTTGATATGCCAAATGTCTTCTCTCTACTTTGTCTTTTTAAATTGTTGCATATGCTCTTTGTGCCTGGGTCTCCCACCACCACCATCTTTTTGGCAAGGCAACAGCTGTTTCTGCTGCTCTCATTTTGCAAACTGCTGAACACACCTGACTCCCACCCTTTTGCAGACTGCTTCTTCTCTTATGTGACTTTAAAAGCAAAAGACCAATATATTAAATAATAAGCTGTCCCTTGATGGAGTCCTGGAGCTCCCTACCCACCACCATCTATTTTTTAAGTGAATGGGTTTTAGTAGAACCATTCTGATATCTCCCATCATCATATGTGTGAATTCATGGCTGGTGTGTGTATAGCACACATTCAAACTTATACCTCCTTTTTGAAGATGAAGACAGGGGACTTATTTTGAATTGCACTATGTGCTGTTTGGACTTACTTTGCTCATATCTCATATCATGGTTGCTTGCAATTGGCAGCATTATAGTTCTCTGAGCAGGTTTGCTCTCATTCTTTAGGGGGAAAAAATAAGTTGCTTAAATGACAAAAAATGAGCCAATTAAAGGCTGATTAATACAAAGCAATATATATCAAGGGGTTTGATGATGAAAAACTAGACTTTGGGTGGTGAACACACAATAGAGTATACAGATGTTTTATTATAAAGGAGTACTATATATCAAAGTGTTTGGGGGTCTCTAAAGTCAAACTAGATAATATCAGTTAGTGTTCTTCAACCTGTTAAAATATAATAAGAAAATCTTTCCACCTAGTATTTTAAATAATTATAAGCAATATCCCTTTATGTGGCAAAATAATGGACTGAGCGGTTTTCCTTCTTTAAAATAATCCCTTTTGAAACTTCTCTACATGTGTCATATTCTTCGAAATCTATTAAAATTTTTAAATTCATGCTGTTTGTACACTTGGCTTGTCCAATGGCATACTGAACCACAAACAGAACTTGGGTGCCTTTTAATATGCTTCTGTAGTTTGGCAAATTTGCTTATGATCAGTCATCACTATCAGAAATCAACAAAAAATTAGGCAGACATGAGTCAGCAAGTTGTCCAGTTGAAATCACTATAGCCTTCTATTAATCAAAATGTATGCTATTTTCAACTTCTATGCTACAGGAACCAGTGCAGTAATTGATTAAAAGAATAGTTACTCATTTTTATATAAGATCAAGGATAAGACTTAACGTAAAGATGTTTGAGAGTTAAATATATAGACTTTACTGTATGTTTATAAAGTAAATGTAGAGAATTTACTGTATATTCACTTCAGGAAAAAATTGTGATACTTAAAAGTTAAATCCATCAGTATGTAGGTTTTTCTTCTTGTGGGTCATTTTATACTCCTGGTTCCCTGCCAGTGTAGACCTCTATAGTATTAGCTTAAGTCTGTGGTCGGCAAACTCATTAGTCAACAGAGTGGCAAACTGTGGCTATCAAGCTGCATGTGGCTCTCGAGCCGCGGTTTACTGACTACTGACTTAAGTGCAGTTCAATTAAAGGCAAGTACTTCATAATAAATGATGAAACACTCCATATTCATATATATTTTGTGGTTTTCAACACTGCTTTGGTCTGTACAGGTCACTGCTCCTTTTCTGTAAACCTGATAGTTAAGACTTGTCTCTCCAGAAAAAGTTACTTAAATTATTTGTCATGATTTTTGTTTGTTATAATCTGAACTTTTGACATTCACATGTCAGTTTATAACTTAAGATATTGAAATATTTTCAGAAAAACTGTGGAAAGAGAAGACTTTGAAAAAATAATTGCAGATGAAGCACTTGCCGCAGGTAATAGAATTATTTCATGTTAATTGTCTAGTATATGTAATTAGGAATTAATTATGCTTATAGAACTAATGTTTTATCTGTAAACTAATGTTTTCTATTAGTAAAAAAAAATTACCTGTAAAACTAACATTTTCTCCTAAAATATTTATTTTTATTAGCTGGAAAAGTCCAATGTGAATTATTCAATCTATGTATTAACATAAACAATAACTCTTTGTCATACTATATATTTTTGTTTGACCTTAAGTATTTTCTCTTCTTTTATTGGAATTTATCTTTAATAAATGTACCTTTCTTCCCCCCACATTGACCCCCTCCCAACCTCCAACCTCCCCACCCTCCCACCCCCAGGACTCATTTCCTCTTTGAACAATGTTCATTTGCTGAGAACAAGATAAGGCTGCTTGGAAAGCTGACTCATATACATGTATACAGTCTTAAAGTTAACTACGTGTTCCTTATTTATGCATAAAAAATCCTACTTCACAAGGCAAAATAAAGAATTTTTTAAAAGTTTGAAATAATATGGGGAAAGGTGTTAACAGTGTTTTCATATCAATAATTAGTTTAGAAAAAAAGTAGATGAGTACCTTTGTCCTACTACCTTTTTCAAAGTTTGAGTACTTGGACCAACAAGTTCATTTTTTTCTGAACGTACAAGATGTTAAGATTTTAATAATAACAATGATGATGGTAGTGATTATGGCCGACTTATTATAGTGAGTCCTTAGAAGCCAGGGACTATTCTAAACACCATTCCCACACATCATGACAATGGCATAAAGAAGGCACCATTGCTCTTCCTGAGTTACAGGTGGAAAGGAATGGGTACAGGGAGTTGAAAGAATAAAAGAGGTTCTGGAAGAAGTTGTAGGAAGTGATTAATATATTCCAAACACATGTTTATTAGAGTAACAATAACAAGAATGCCATTATACCCAGAAAAAAAATACTTTATGTCATCACTAATAAAAAATGACAACATTTAGTTTCATAGCCAGTGATTTCAAATTAATTCCTGTGTCTGAAGCTTACACTCCTGGAGATCCTGTAAGGTGGGCAGTACCCTTTCATCAGAATGGACTTGGGTGGGACAGCTTTTTCTGAAATGGACCTGATCCTGCAATTTCTATTGTCCTTTTCTAGCTGTTTAAGGGGATAAAATGTTGTACATTATATTCAACTGACCATTCTTTTTTTAAAAGAAAATGTTTTTTATTGATTTCAAAGAGGAAGGAGAGGGAGAGAGAGATAGAAACATTAATGATAGAAGAGAATTATTGGTCAACTGCCTCCTGCACTCCCCCTTACTGGGGATCGAGCCTGCAACCCAGGCATATGCCCTGACCAGGAATCAAACCATGACCACCCCTGGTTCATAGGTCAACACTTAGCCCTAAGCTACATTGTCTGGGTGATCATTCTTTTTTAAATAAATGACTTGGGATTTTTAGTCAGAATTACCAGAATTTTAGTAACTCACCTATGTAGATAATTAGAATATAGATGGTTAGTTTGGGTTGGGATTCTTTTTTTTTTTTAATATATTTTATTGATTTTTTACAGAGAGGAAGGGAGAGAGATAGAGAGCTAGAAACATCGATGAGAGAGAAACATCGATCAGCTGCCTCCTGCACACCCTCCACCAGGGATGTGCCCGCAACCAAGGTACATGCCCTTGATCGGAATCGAACCCAGGACCTTTCAGTCCGCAGACCGACACTCTACCACTGAGCCAAACCGGTTTCAGCTTGGGTTGGGATTCTTACTACCAGATATAAAAGGAATGAAATCATCAAATAAAACAATGTTTACAATAGTTGTAACAATACAGTTCTACCACACTGACCTATTTGACATCACAGGAAATGTGTTATCTGCTTTCAGGAGTTCCAGAGGAGAGCATCAAAGCATCTCTGGGTGAAGAGATTTTTAAAATATGTTATGAGGAAGATGAACACATCCTGGGTGTGGTGGGAGGAACCCTCAAAGATTTTTTAAATAGCTTCAGCACCCTTCTGAAGCAGAGCAGCCACTGCCAAGAAGCAGAGAAGAAAGGCAGGCGGGAGGCTGCCTCCATTCTCTGTCTGGATAAGGACCACGAAGTCTTAAACGTTTACTATTTCTTTCCTAAGAAGATCACATCCCTGATTCTTCCAGGCATCATTAAGGCAGCTGCTCACATCCTGTATGAAACCGAAGTGGAAGTGTCATTAATGCCTTCCTGCTTCCATAATGATGGCAGCGAGTTTGTCAATCAGCCCTATTTGTTATACTCCGTTCACGTTACAAGCACCAAGCCATCCCTGTCCCCAGGCAAGCCCCAGTCCTCCCTGGTCATTCCTGCTTCTCTCTTCTGTAAGACATTCCCATTCCATTTCATGTTTGACAAAGACATGACAATTCTGCAATTTGGCAATGGCATCAGGAGGCTGATGAACAGGCGGGACTTTCAAGGAAAGCCGAATTTTGAAGAGTACTTTGATATTCTCACTCCAAAGGTCAACCAGACGTTTAGCGGAATCATGACTATGTTGAATTTGCAATTTGTGGTCCGAGTGAGGAGATGGGACAACTCTGTGAATAAATCTTCAAGGGTAAGAGAAACGTAATAGTATTTTGAATATGAAATCAATTATTTCATATTTAAGGACCAGAAACAAAAAAGTGGTACAAATGCAAATGCATCACTTCAAATGTTTTCTTAAAACATTTAATTTGAAAACAATTCTAGAATATTTCTAAGGCTGGAATAAATTTAAAGCAAGGTCCTTTCTGCATGTGTTTCTTCTCTACTTGACTCTTACTTCACAAATATCATTGAATGCAGTGTAACTTTTAAAATCTTTATGACATATTTTACAACTGAATTATAAAAATATTTATATAAAATACATTTTCAGTCATCATCAGACAGTCGACTTAATTTGGAATAAGAGGTCTTTTTCTATAACAAACAAAACTACTTTTTTTTTCTTATAGGAGCCAACTAAATAGATTTTTTACTCAGTATTCAATAAATTGGAAAAAATCAATACATTTTGATTAATTGTTAAAGGATGTGGGGAGAAATGTTCTGTCACCTCCTGGTAGAGAACTTTGGTAATTATTTACTCTTAGGTTACAAAGTTTGCTAAGTCATAGTCAACAGTACAGCAAAATGCATAGAGAGGCTTATGTTGCATATTGATTTTAGTCATGTATAACCCCAGCAGACACACTGTTCCCCAAAATGAAAACAGCTTTATTCTTTTTTATCATAAAAATTGTATAGATAGGTCTTTAAAAATTTGGTATTAATTAAATATGCCCATTGTAGCAACAACAAAAAATCAATGACATTAGTTATGAAGCATGCTATAATTCAGAGTATGCTTGTACAGGGAAAAAAATTGTAACTGTAAAAATAAAACATGAGGGTTATAGATTTTTGTTTAAAACAAAAAATAATACTATTTACAACTTCTTCCCCCCTCCCGACCCCCAAACTGTATATTTTGGGCATCCTCCCATGTCATTAGATATAGGTCTGTTTCACTTTTCAAAGGCTACGTCGTGTTCATTGTAAGGTTGTCCTCTATGTAATCATCGGCTCTGAGAAAGACATTTGGCTTGCTTTTGGCTCTGCCGCAGTGAGCCACACACATGTATGTATTTGTCCACACTCATCCAAGTAAATCTTGTGATCCAGGATGATCACTTGAAGCCTCGCCTACCTCAAGGCTCCCTTGGCGCAATCATTTCTGCTGGCTGCTCCTCTCAAAAGGGAGTAGGCACATGCCATTTACTGAGGAGGCTTTGAAAGAAGCTTTGTTTGCGCCGCTTATTGAAAAGTATGATCTGCGTGTAAAGTATACTTTTCAAATAGCTGCACACGTTTTAGAACTCACAGTAAACTGGAACTATAAGAAAACATATATCTTGGTCAATAGGTAGAAAAAAAAAAATCAAGTTCAATACAAAGGGATTGTCACTATACTTCCTCTTCCTTTTGTCTCCAAAAAAAATGTTGGAAACTTGAATGAATCGCATCAATTGGTTCTCCTTTGCTTCACAGGTTATGGACCTCAAAGGCCAAATGATCTACATCATTGAATCCAATGCGATCTTGTTCTTGGGGTCACCCTGTGTGGACAGATTAGAAGATTTTACAGGGCGAGGGCTCTACCTCTCAGACATCCCAATTCACAATGCACTGAGGGATGTGGTCTTGATAGGGGAACAGGCCAGAGCTCAGGACGGCCTGAAGAAGAGGCTGGGGAAGCTGAAGGCCACGCTGGAGCAAGCCCACCAAGCCCTGGAGGAGGAGAAGAAGAAGACGGTCGATCTTCTGTGCTCTATATTTCCCTCCGAGGTGGCGCAGCAGCTGTGGCAAGGGCAGGTCGTGCAAGCCAAGAAGTTCAGTAATGTCACCATGCTCTTCTCGGACATTGTTGGGTTCACGGCCATCTGCTCCCAGTGCTCGCCGCTGCAGGTCATCACCATGCTCAACGCGCTCTACACCCGTTTTGACCAGCAGTGCGGAGAGCTGGATGTCTACAAGGTAAGGGTAGAGCTGGACGATGCCCGCTTTCCAGGCAAAAGTCACTGAGAGAAAGCACTGTGACTAGGGATCTGAGTTATAATGCAAACGAAAGGCTGTCCTTGTGGGGCCATCCTGGGAGCCACATCCTGGGAGTAGGCATTGTGTGTTAATTGCCTGGCTGTTAGCCAGCCAGAAATAGCTCTGAATCTACTCAGAGAAAGAGATGATTCCATGAGAAATCATCTAAGGAATAAGCATTGAATGGGGGGGATGATAGACAGCGTGGAGGATGGGGTATAGGACCCATGAGCAGGTGAAGTTTAGAAGTCATTGACCATGACACTTGACTGTGGGAACTGAGTGGAGTTGTTAAGCATGGTGTAATTCAGAGAATCCCTTGTACAGGGAAAGTTTGTCCTTTGTACCTGTAAAAGTAAAGAAACCTGAGGATTACACAAATAGTATTTAAATAGATTAATTCAATTCAGGGTTGACATGATACGTTTGATGACCAGTTAGCAGAAACTCAAATTACCTACTTAAGGCTTTATTTTAGAGTGGCCGAGGGCAGAGATACCTAAATCTTGTCTTCACATCTTGTTTCTACCTGATGTGTTTCACTTGTGAAACAGAGAAAATATTATCTACCCAAAGAGTTTATAATATTAATGATAACATGCATATGTCCTATAAGCTTTGTTTTAAATATTATGGTAAATAATATCTGTTATTCATCAGGCAGCAGGATTTTGGGGGTTCCCAGGATGTACCTGCATCATTCTCTAGGCACTGGGGATGCACAGTGATTGTTCCCAACGTGTATTTGGCTACTTTTAAAAGCACCAATGAAGAGATTTCATGCTCTGCCTTTAGAAGTAAAACTATATACATTTTTTACTGACATAATGCATTTTGCACTGTTTCAGACATTATCATTAAGCACAGAGCACGCCTCTCATCTGTGTGGTTTGAAATCATCTGTTAATTTGCCACACAACAATCTGGCATTTCAGAACTTAACCCAATACAAAATAGATAAGTGATTAAGGAGAAACAAAAATTATTTATGGGAATATACAAGACCCTGCTTTTTTTTTTTCAGTCTAGATGCTAAAAGTAAAAACAAAATGAGAAAATAAAATAAAACTTCCTTTAAAAACTCTAACAGGAAATTCCAGATAGAGCTATGATCCCTGGGGACAAAAATAGGCTCATGGATAATTACAGATAGTAAAATAATTGGCTTTGGTTAGGTTAAGCTTGATGGCCTCTTGTGGAATCTGCTGTATTTTTGTGTAGACAGTTTCTATCCTGAGAATGTCTCCTCTCTCAGCAGAATTGTGAGAAGAAAGGCTTGCTGTTCTTGGCAAACTACTGAGGTTGATGTCAGAAGAAGTAGCCCTCTTCTTCAACTTGTTGAAACTTGACAAAATTGGTTATTTTTGTCAAGTATTTAGAATCTAGCCTCTTTACTACCAGGATGGTAGCCACAGAGTTCCCTGACTCACCCAACTGCAATCTAAGCTAGTCAGTCACCTTCTTTCCTGTCCTTATGCCCACCTTCTCTCCATTCTGATTTCTCATGAAGATACCTAGAGGTAGCTGTAAACAAGTAAAGAGGGTCTTAACCACTAAATACATTTCAAATACACAGAATGTATAATCATAGGCCCACCTATGAGTGTCATGGCTTCCAAGGAATAGTCAAGTTTATTTATTCAGGGATCTGATAATGCCAGAACTTTATTTAGTTTAATTTTCTGTCATTCCATCTTTTGGTGTTAGTATTTATTTATCTATTGTTTTAGCAAATATCTATTGGTTATCCAGCATTTTCCAGCATGAGTGTGCAAAATCCCTGTGAGAATAGTTGACATATGTGTGTGTGTGTGTGTGTGTGGAGTGGGGGGGGTTACTGGCAAATACCAGATTTTAATATGACATACTAAGGCCCCATTTCACTCAAGTCTGGACCAGGTGTTACAATAGCACAGAAAATGGATACCTAACTCCAAGTAGGGGTGAGGGTTCCACTTAAAATTAGCAACACTTTTTTGAACACCTATTAGCCTTTCTGTTAAACACTTCATATATATTCACCGCTGAGGCAAAGCTTATGGAAGGTATTGCTGCCTGGTCCTTTCATTGGTGAATATACTGGGCACTGATAAGAATTAATAACATAGACAAACTCAGAGAACTTACATCCTACTGGTGGTGGTGGGGAGACAATAAACAGATGAGTAAATATATAGTATTTCGTGTGGTGTAATATTCTGGAAGGAAAATAAAGCAGATTAAGGGGGAGAGGGTAAGAAGTGGTTGCTGTTTCACAGAGGGTGGCCTTTCTCATAAGGAGATGTTTCAGAGGGGCTGAAGGAAATGAGGGACAAACCAAATGGTTATCTGCAGAAAGATCATTCCAGGCAAAAGGATAGCAAGTGGGAGTCTGTTTGGTATGTTTGAGAGAAAACAGGAGAGGCAAATGGCATTGAGACAAAGTGAGCAACAAGGAGAATGAACAGGTAGTGTCAGGAGTTAGCAGAAAAGGAGGTCAAGAAGAAAGTTGGGCACTTTATAAGGGTTTCAGCATTTATTTTGAGTAAACATTTACATCTCTTTTTCTTTTTCTCACCTCCATTTCTCCACACTGGAAGCTTTGGATAAGAAAAATGCGATGATCTAATCCGTTACAATAAATATTTAAAAAGAAAAATGTGATTATTACAATTTGGTGGGTTTAAATTAATTATTAGCTTCTTGTAGCCAGTATCATAGACAAAGAACACTGAGATTGTTGCTATATGATTCTTAATTTCTGTTGTAAGTTATATGCTATAATTCTTCCTGAACTTTTTATTTGTAATGTGGAAATCTGTTACGTGTAGGTGGAGACCATTGGTGATGCATATTGTGTGGCTGGGGGATTACACAAAGAAAGTGATACCCATGCTGTTCAGATAGCACTGATGGCCCTCAAGATGATGGAGCTCTCTGATGAAGTCATGTCTCCCCATGGAGAACCTATCAAGGTAAACTAGATCATATATTATCCAGGAAATGAGAATAAATGCTTATTAGTTAGTTATCAAAAGAGAGGTGTGCCCAGCCTGTGTGGCTCAGTGTTTGAGTGTCCACCTATGAAACAGAAGGTCATGGTTCAATTCCTGTTTTGGACACATGTCCAGATTGCAGGGAGCATGCAGAAGCGGGCATACAGAAAGCAGCTGATTAATGATTCTCTTTATCATTGATGCTTCCATCTCTCTCTCCTCCCCTCCTCTCTGAAATTAATAATATATATCAATAATATATAGAGAGGCCCAGTTCACAAAATACGTGCACTGGGGACAGGGGCAGTGTGTGTGTCCCTCAGCCCAGCCTGAACCCTCTAATCTGGGACACCCCTCTTACAATCTAGGACTCCTGGCTCCCAACTGCTCATCTGCCTGCCTTCCTGATTGCTCCTAATCGCTTCTGCCTGCCAGCCTGATCACCCCTAACCACTCCCCTACCACCCTAACTGCTCCTCTGCCAACCTGATTGCCCCTAACTGCCCTTCCCTAAAGACCTGGTTACCCCCAACTTCCCTCCCTTGCAGACATGGACCCTCCTAACTGCCCTCCCCTGCTGGCCATCTTATGGCGTCCATCTTGTGTCAACATGGGGGGCAGCCATCTTGTGTGTTGGAGTGATAGTCATTTTGCATATTATTCCTTTATTAATTAGGTTCTTTTCTTTTCTTTAAAGAATAGTGTATCAGTCTGGGTTTAGTTGCAGAGAGCAAACTCACACTTGTTGAAGCAAGAAAACATTTACTACATGGTATGAATCTCAGAATCATTGAGAGGACCAAAGAAGCCATTTATTAAGTTGAGCTTTTTAAAAATGGGCCCTAAAGCCACATTTCAGAGCCACTGCTTTTTCCTCTGCCAGGAAGCTGGCTCCAGAACTATTCCACCGTAGCCAGTCAGGAATTGGTTGTGTTCTGAAAGCTGCTACCTCTATTTCTGGCTACAGGACACAACTACATGCCCCTCCTCTAATCTGGATCAGCAACGTGGAATTCCTGCATCCTGGCCCTCACACAATGAGCGCCTGGGGACTGAGCTCTCCTCTAAGCATGCCACAGAAAACCCAAAGCTTCTCCACTTGTAAGCATCCCAAGTGCAGTCCCAGAGGCAATCCTGGCTTCCATATCTCATGCACATGGCTCTGAGTCACCGGACCTGAATGCATCTAGGTGCTGCCAGGAAGTTTGGAATATGTAGTGTTTAGTGTTCCAGTAACTGCAGGGAAGGACATCACAGTAGAATGAATGTTGACTGTTAATCCACCAGTGCTTTCCAGGACACATAAAATTCTAAAATGTCTAGATCAGTCAGACTCCAGAATAATATTTTATTGCACATGGAAAAATAAAATTAACACACTAGACATTGGTTTAATAGACAGAACATGACCAGGTTATGTTTATTTGTAGCACTGTAGTCAATCTGGTGCTCAATTTTTATTAAATAAACCTCAATTGATGACTCAGAAGTGGGCCTTTGAAGAGACTTAGAATCCTACCTGGTATGCTATAGATATAGGGAGAAGAAAGAAAGAAAAATAAACTATACTATTTAGAATTTTAGTCTTGGCTCTCTTCACAATTAGTAGACGCTATACATGTAAGTCACCATATTGGTTTTACAAGTCTACTCTCTTTCCAGTTATATGTTACTAGAAGCCTGTTGTATGATATTCATGCAAGAATAGGCCTTCTTTCCCCTGGCTTCACTCCCAGCTGCCTGGGAGCCATCATGTCCCCACTCCCAGCTGGTCTGGGAGCAGGCAAGTCCTTGCTTCTGTCCAGAGCACTGCTCCTGTAGCTCCCTCTGCCACCCCCTGTCCCCTCATTAGCAGGCATCCCGCCCCTATCAGCTGCTCTGTGCCTGCATATGCAAATTAACCTCAATCTTTGTTGGGTTAATTTGCATACTCACTCTGATTGGCCATGGATGTGGCAGAATGATGGTTAATTTGCATATTTCTCTTTTATTGGGTAAGATTGTATGACACATTTTGTATATTTAGTGCTGTAAAAATATAAACCTTTTATTACTCATGGATTCTGTGCATTGGAAATTAGATGATGCATAGCAGAGATACCATACCTCAGCTCACAGTCTCTGGTACCTCAGCTGGGAACACTCAAATGGTTGGGAACAGTTGGAAGAGCTGGATGTACCACTTGGAGCTGGAGGATCCATTCCAACATGGCTGCTTCACTTACACGCCTGGTTCCTTGCTCACTGGCAATGGCTGAAAGATTGAGCTCAGCTAGGACTGTCAGTCCATGTGCTTATGTGGCCTAGACTCAGAGTAGTTACACTTCCCACATGGTGGTTTATGTCCCAGGGAACTTGATTAGTGGCAGCATGGCCTTTGAGGACCTAACCTTAGGAGACACACAGTGACGCTTCCATTCTATTCTATTGGTCAAAGCAATCATAAGCCTGCTCAGAGGGGAGGAGATAGAGGTCATATACTAATGGGGAGAGTGTGACGTAAATTGTGGATTAAAAGGGTGTGAAGGGTTGAGGGTTCCATTCTGGTCAAGGACACATGCCTGGGTTGCAGGCCCAGTTGGGGTGTGTGCAGGAAGCAATCAATCAATGTGTCTCTCTCACATCTATGTTTCTCTCTCTCTCTCTCTCTCTCTCTCTCTCTCTCTCTCTCTCTCTCTCTCTCTCTCTCTTTCTCTCCCCTTCCCTTCCACTCTCTCTAAAAATCAATGGAAAAAATATCCTTGGGCGAGATTAACAAATAAAAATAATAATAAAATCATCATAGCATCTTACTTTTTCAGACTTCATTTCTGTAATTGCACTTTTTAAAAAAGATAACTCTCTCTTTTTCTCTGTCTCTCTTTAGTTTCAATGAGGAAAATCATAGCATCAAAGTACATGCTTAAAATAGCAACATTAACAATAAAATCAGCAGTTTGAGCCAGGGGGATCAGTAACATGAGTTTTGTTATTTGTAGGAATGTAATTTTAGAGTTTTGCAACTGGAGGAATTATCTATAGCTAGTTTCAAAGACAATTACCTGAGTAATAAGAGTTCAGCTTTAATGACCTGTGAAGTGAGATGTTCAGCGGACTGTTTTATTTGTTCTAACCTACAGTCCTCAGGACTATCTGATGGCTTTAGGAGCCGCCTCGGAGACATCCCAGAGGCAGAAGGGAAGAGCATTTTCAGTAGAGAGAGAAACCTCATTGTGTATTGGAGGGAGGGGAGCATATTGTGACAAACATCATCTCCTTTAATATTTACAACAACATTATGAAGAGGAAACTTCCATTCCCTGGTGGACAAAAGTGGTCAGGTCTCCCCTGCATCTGGATTTGGAGTTATGTCTCTCTGGCTTCAAAGCCCAGGCTTATCCTGGCTGATAGCTCAGTTGTGGGTTCTGTCCCCCATCAGGGCACATACAAGAATCACACAATGAATATATAAATAAGTGGAACAACAAATGGATGTTTTCCCCTCTCTGCCCTCCTGCCTTGCCCCTCTTCTAATCTGGGCCACAGCAACCACTTCCTGCTTCCTGTGTTATTTTTTATTTAAATATTGCAATTCACTTTCTCTAGTTAGTCATTTGAATAGTGGAGTAGTGTTGGCATGAAGTTATTTTCCTCAAAATGTACACTTTATATGGTGAGAGCGAGCTACTTTTGCCCCTCTCTGACTGTGTTTTGGGAAACAACAACTGTAATCCAGAAGGTATGCCTATCTCATTCAATAGCGCGGTTTCACATAAACATCCCATAGACACTGTCTTGTCACCGTGGTGACAGCAATAGGTCTGCGTGGAAATCTGTCTCAGATACTGAAGAGAGGTGAAATGAGAGTGCTTTGTGCATTAAGCCTAAGGGCAGAAGTAGAGAAGAATTAAGAGGTGCAGCTGATTCTTCTCCGATAACTTTTAATCAGCTGTGAAAAGTAGAGGGAAATTGGCTGAGGTTTTTGAGGAAGGAGGGAGCGGTGTGGTAAGAGCAGTTGTTATGATAATTTATACAGGGCATTCAAACACGGACAAGTGGGAAAAAATTTAACCAATGACCAGGAACTTTGTGGCACTTTTTTTTTGCTTTCAGATGCGAATTGGACTGCATTCTGGATCGGTTTTTGCTGGAGTTGTTGGAGTTAAGATGCCCCGTTACTGTCTTTTTGGAAACAATGTCACCTTGGCTAACAAATTTGAGTCCTGCAGTGTACCAAGGAAAATCAATGTCAGCCCAACCACATACAGGTACTGATTGCACTGACCACCTAAACTCCATTCTTTTACCAGTTCATTGGGGGAAATGGTATCTGGTCAAGAGGGAGTAAAGTAAAACTTCTACCCCATGTGGACATCTGCCCTGGGCCTGTGGCTACAGTTCTTGGATCTTTTTTCTATCGGGCTTTCATTTAAATGGTTTTATTTTTCCAATCTATTTTTCTTACAAATTTTTATCTTGTTTTGAAGATGATCTAATGAACATTTCTTACTCATGAGAAATGAGTGTCATTTCTCAATTGACATTCTGTGCTTATCTGTAAATTTATTTCAAAAGCCTAGGATTTGTATTCAGAAGACGTATTTTACAAGTTTACCAGATGTGAGATCTTGAGCAAAGCACTTGATAAATTCAAAAGATATAAAGGTTATGATTGTAATTACCGTTCTCACAGGAGATGTTGAGCTAATATGGACATAAAAATATTTTTTAAATTTACCAATTTTATACATTTTATTTATTAAAACCTTGTAGTTATATACATTTTAGAGTTAATTTTTAAATATTCCAAAGATGCAGAAAAAATTCAAAGAAAATATGATACCCATGTAACCAATATTTATATTTAACAAATGTCAACATTTTGCCAAATTTGTTTCAGATCCCTGTTTTATGAAAGAAACAAAATATTACAGGTTCCTGGCCCCCATTTTCTCTCTGACATGCTGGACTTTATATCCCTTAAGGATTGTAGGGACATTTGAGAATGTGTACTTCCTGAAGACAGACAGGCTCCTAAAGAGAGAGGTGGGAAGGCACTGAATACAGCATAGCTTATATTGCTTCTGTTTACCGGGAAGGAAATGGCCAGAAGTGTAACTCTCTTCATTTAAGTTCCTCCAGATTAGAAATAAATAAAGTCAGAGAAAAGTAAATTTCCACTGGACCTATTCATATTCTTTTTTGACTTGCCTTGAACTTACTCAACATATTTTAAGGTTTTTTTTTTTTTCTTGATGAAATGTAAATCTAGTTCTTATAAATCTAGTTCATTTATTCTAACTATTTCTAATGCAGCGGTGTACTGGTAAACTAGCTTTGGGAAGTAAAGTGGAGAATCCCTGACGTCTAGCATTTACCAATTTCTATGGTGTAAATACTCCTACCATGGCAGGTTTTAGGCGACTAATAATTTGCAAAATTCTTAAATGTTAAAAGTTCACTGTCATGAGCCAGTACAAACCAGATCAAGTATGTCACTATGCATTAAGGTGATATAATATGTATTCTAAAGTATGAATAAGCCAGAATCTTATCTTCTCCCCAGGGTTAATTAGAGTGTACAGTATCAGATTTTCATTATTATAAAAGTGACTTGATAAATATTCTTACACATATATCTCTAGATATTATACCTATACATGCTATTCCCAGATCATAGGCTGTACTGTTTCAACTTTACTAAAAATCAATTAGCTGTCCAAATTGCTTTTACCAATTTGTATGCCACCAACAATGTATGAAGGTTTGCATCTCTTCTCCAAAGCTTGATATTATCAGACTAATTAATTGTTAGCAATATGATAGGTACTAGGTGATATCTAACTGATGTTTAATCAGTCTTTTTTGTAATTGATTTTTTTAAATTTTCACAACTATCCCCATTTTCCAAAGATAGAAAACTGATATCTTTGTTGCTATTCAACAACTGACTTTGAAGCTTATACTTTGAGATTCTGTAACTTTATTTTAATATATCACCAAATATCATCCCTCATAAATAATAGGTAAAAAACATTTATGAATTCATGACTGACTAAAACATCAGTAGAAAGCCATGGTCTAGTTGGGCAGATGTGATGAGTAATCTAATGTTCTGTAGGAGTTGATTTAGATTCCAGAACTTTCAACATTTTTCATCCATGGCCTAAATAGTAGATTAGAGAGATGCTTATTCAGTTTGCATTTGATAGAAAGCTAGGGAAGCAAATAGAAAGATGAGTCAGTAACTTAACCAGTGGAATCAGCATTAAAATGAGTTTAACATAATGAAGAAGTAGCAAATTTTTTTAAAAATTGGGTATCAGTATGTACAATTAAATCTCATTTTAGTTCTATTAACCTTGGACTAGTAAAAATTCTATTGAGAGATCAAAGCTCTTCTTACAGTCTTATATACATATGCATAAAGCTTACATATAACTCTTTTTTTTATAGCTTCTTGCCCATGATTACTTCTCAGTAGTACTTACAAAATGAATGAATCAATAAATGACAATGTTTTAACTCAGAAAGACTTATGCTGTAACATTATATTTATGGGGTGTTGCATTTTTTGCTGTTGTTAAACCTTTGGATTATTTGGGGTTTTCTCCCCATTACTGTGAATTATACTGCTATTCAGATTATATCTCCTCAAAAATATTTTATAATTAATTTTTCAAATATGAGTAAAATGAATTATTTGGGTAGACTTTTCTTGTGATTGTGAATTTGTTTTTCATTGTACTTCTGTGAAGATGTTTATTAACATCATTAGGAGCTTTCTGTCAATCACAGTGGACATGGTTTATTAATATTTTGAGGAATATTCATTTACTTATGTGTCTTTTCTTGCATAGAGAGTAATAATTTTATTTTACTCTTTCAGATTACTCAAGGACTGTCCAGGTTTTGTGTTTACCCCTCGATCAAGGGAGGAACTTCCACCAAACTTCCCCAATGAAATTCCTGGAATCTGTCATTTTCTGGAAGCTTATCAACAAGGAACAAATTCAAAACCCTGGTTCCAAAAGAAAAATGTTGAAGATGGTAATGCCAATTTTTTAGGCAAAGCATCGGGAGTAGATTAGCAAAATATGTCCCTGCTTATCAGTCTTTGGGGTTTGATTCCTTCAAACATGTATGGAATCTCTGAGAGCACTTTAGGAAACAGATGGATAAAAGCAGTATTACCATTTCAGGAGCTCACGATCTACTTATTCTCTTCCACTTAACATGAGAAAAATGTATTCACTTCAATACTTCAGCTCCTCAGTGAAAATTATAAAAAAAAAAAAAAGAAACCTCAGAAGTGACCTTTGGAGGACAGTTCTGTTTTATAACAATCACTTAATCATTATTCAAAATTTAACACATTGTACATATATCAGGTAATTATAGCAACCTATACAATGTGATGGAGTCACTTGCAATCCTGTGTCCTGGTGGAATGCTATGGTGATTAGAGTGTGTTTGTGATAGCATTGCCTTATAAAAGCTTTTGAACAGAAATCAATAGTCTTCAATACCGTAAGCTCTTTGAACCTTTCAACTCTGAATTTCATTACATTTTCTCATTTAGTTTTTAGCTTATATAACAAAATAGATTGAGGTTTTTCTCTGTTGCACTTTTATTTTTTTCCCATTTTTAAGAAAATAAGCAATTCTGGGTTAGAGGCAATATGAATATAAAATAGGTCTTCTGTAAATATCAAAGATTATTTTGTAAAAATATTCTCCAGCACATATTGTGTCATTAACAATAAATGTTTCCCTTTGTTTGACTTTTTAAAACTCCATATATGGTAAAGGCTATTTTAATTCATATCAGCATTTTCATTCCTATTAATTCATTTGTATTTTACAATATTCAGTATAAAAGAGTCGTATAGCCTATATTAAAATGCAATAATATCATTCTGATTTAATGTAACCAGAAGCAAGTGAAGTAAGCATTTAGGGAACAAACCATGAAGTACAGAAATAAGACATTTATAACATGCATACATTCACCCCACCCCACCTCACAACACACAGAGGAATTTGGCTGTTTCAGCAGACATTCTCTATTGCCAAGCTGAGCCAGATAAAGTTCCAATAAGAAAATTTAAGCCCTAACCAGTTTGGCTCAGTGAATAGAGCATTGGCCTGCAAACTGAAGGATCCCAGGTTTGATTCTGGTCAAGGGTATGTACCTTGGTTGCAGGCACATCCCTAGTAGGGGGTGTGCAGGAGGCAGCTGATCAATGTTTCTGACTCTCTATTCCTCTCCCTTCCTCTCTGTAAAAAAACAATAAAATATATTTTAAAAAAGAAAAGGAAAACTTAAGTTCACAAGTGGGAAATAAGACTTGTTCTTTTCTGACATTGTATCGTTAAATACTTGTGTTGAATACTTTAGTGTGTATATTTCCTAAGAATAATCAGGGTGTTTTTTTTGTGTGTGTTTTTTTTTTGTCTCATTAAGTACATATCTGAATGTTTTATTCTAGTTGAAATATCTCAATGATATTCTTTAAATAGAATGTTAGTGTTGATGAAGAAAATTATGCTGCGATTTCATTATAGAAAGTTTTAAACACTTTTTTCTGGAAGTTGAACTTTAATTTTTAATGATGTTAGTCTAAGATCTCTGGTGAACTAAACATAAATAGGGCTTTGATTTTAAAAAAGCTCAACTTCAAAGCAAGAGAAAAATGATGTTTATAATATTTAAATCACTATTAGCAGAGCCATAGATACACTGAACTCTTATTTGGGGTTCTAAGAAATAATTCAATTTAAAAATTATTTAATTATCTTCACTAGTTCCCAGACTACCCCATGGTAACTTCAGGAATAAAAAATAATTACTAATTGGCCTGTAGTATTCTATGTGTACCACTATAGATATTACAATCATTATTATTTACTGATTCCCCAATATTTTGCAGAACTGAATGTGTCTCATTAAATACTGATCTTATTGTTATAGGTGTTGGGAAAATATAGTTGCAATCTTACAATTATATGAAGTTAATAAAAATACTTAAAAGGAAAATAAATAAAAATACATTTTCTGTTTGTAATGGAACCCTTATTATAGGAAAAATAATAGGAATCAAATTAAATATAAAGGCATAAAATAAAATGTCACCTTTATAAAAATATTTAAGCAGACCCTAATTTGTTAATTTGTTTTCTTAAGTTTTTAACCTAATTAGAATTTAAAAAAAAATTTTTTTTCTGTGTGTATTCACCCCAAAACCCATAGAGGAAAACAGAATCAGAGTAAAAGCTATCTGAGAATTCCTTATATTAGTCCTACAACCTTTCCATAAGTTTGACATTTTATCTAAATAAAAAAGCCAGCAAACATGTATTTTCCCATACAAATGAAATAATCTGTGATAGGTTCCCCAGGCCAGCCTATAAAGGCTCATTAATTATGGGATACTTTGTGGACCTTAAACAAGATGAGCATACAAGATTTCCATGATAGAATGCATTCAAAATCCACAACTGGGTGCTAAAAACTTTAAGGAATTTTCTTTCCCCCTCAATTCAATTTAGGGGATAGAGGTTATGGATACATTGTCAGATCCAGGGGCAGAGAATCTGGAAGATATGTTCTCAAGGAAACAGGGACCAAAATAGGAGCTCTGTTTTAGGAGTGGAATTGAGATGGAGAAAAGAATGGACAGAGAGGACCTATGACAAGGTGGGGAGCCAAAAGCTCTGAATATTGTTGCCAGGTTAACTATCCTGAAAAAAATAATATGGAGTCTAGTCCCCATTGGTTTAGCTCAGTGGATAGAGTTGGCCCTGGTTGAGGTGGATGCAAGAGGCAGCCTATTGATGTGACTCTCTCACATCAATGTTTCTCTCTGTTTCTCCCCCTCTCTTCCATTTTCTCTAGAAATCAATGAGAAAATATCCTCAGGTGAAGATTTAAATAATAATAATAATAATAATAATAATAATAATAATGTGGGGTCCCAAGATTGCTTTTCAATCAGATGGTTTTTCCTGAGAATTCCACAAGCTGTTTCATTTGTTCTAATTTTTGTTTTTGTTTTCACTCACAGCTTCTTGCCCCTTTATTAAATGTCCAGTACACAAAATAAACTTGCCTTTATACCTATTTCTCAAGCAAGCATAGAGTTCTGTGGTTGTTTTCTAAAGATGTCTGCATCAAGAAGCAAAAATAAATAGAGTTAAAAAGTGTCTTCCCATTTTTCTTCATCTTTTTATTTCTATCCAGATTTTGTAAGAAAAGGCAAAATCTTCCATATTTACTTTAAATATGAATAGGTTCACTTACTTATTTTCATTTATTTAATCATAAGTTCTTGAATAACTACCATGTGCCAGAAATAATTCTGTTCTTGGAATTCAAAGATAAGGCGTGACCCATTCTATCAAGAAAATGAAAAATGAAAAATGAACAGAAGGTAAATAATTTCGGAATTCTGTGGGAGCACTTAGTGCTTGGAGAAGTGTCTTGGCCTTAGAGGAGTTCATCCAGCAGAGGGGGATGGACTTGACCAAGCAAGTACACCAGCACACAGGAAGAAATGGAGTGTCCGGGGTGCATAGTATGTCCTAGGCAGAAAGCTGCCTGGGATGAGATGGAGGGGAGGAGAATAAGGACAGAAAGACTACTCAGATACAGACCATGAAGACTGGGGGCTCTCTTTCATGGTAAGATGTGTGATTTTGATAATGATAATGATGGTAATTAATCATCATTATTACTCATTTTCATAAAACCCTTGGTTTAAAATAAATCTTACAAATGAAAAAAAAAAAAGGTGCAAAACAGAAAAAACAAAACAAAACACCATTAGCTTCCACTTCCTTCCCCAACACATTTTTTCAAATCTTTTTTAAAAATATATATTTTATTAATTTTTTTACAGAGAGGAAGAGAGAGGGATAGAGAGTTAGAAACATTGGTGAGAGAGAATCATCGGTCGGCTGCCTCTTGCACACCCCCTACTGGGAATGTGCCTCAACCAAGGTACATGCCCCTGACCGGAATCGAACCTGGGACCCTTCAGTCACTGAGCCAAACTGGTTTTTGTAACGCTTTTTAAACTAGTAGGCAAAGGAGACACCAAATGCTAAAGGAAGAAATGGTATGGCCATGAGTGTCTTTCTGAAAGGCAGTGTCAGAAACAGCATGGATGAGGGTTGATATTTACTTGCATAGATGACCAAATGGTCATCCCTCTGTGTCTCAGAAGAAAATGGTTTGTGCTCTATCCTGGATAAGTACGAACATAAAGCTGGGTGTCTGGCATAAGAACTTCCTATTACTTTCAAGGCCACTAGTCCTGCACATCCTTCGGTAGGAAGGAAGGAAGAGTTGCTTCAGCTTTTTATTAACCTTTCCTGCGAATGCTGCTCTGTGATATTACCAGTCACACAAAGCAGACCCTGCCAGGTCTGTCCTGTGGTTAGGCTAGAAGCTGTCCTAGGACGGGGCACAGTGTCTATGGAGGACCTCGCCAGTGAAAGAGACTGCCTATTTCACCTAGATCTGAGGATAGACGTGGGCCCCTGACATTTCTCAACCCTAAAAGTGCCCAAACGGACCTTGACAGACAAAGCACGAAGGAAGTCTAGGGCTGTCTAATGGTTTGAAAGCCACATTCAAATCCCTGTTAAAGCAGCAGGTAATAATCTCCAAGAGAATGCGTGAATGAATTGCTGTAGTAGTTTAAAGTGTATGGATTTTACCTGCAGAAAAAAGTGTTAATGTGAAATGGAATCTCTCGGATTCATATTGTTGGGGTGGCTTGCAAGATCAGTACCCGTCACTGGACAATAAAACATAAGGAGTTTGTGCTGTGTCACTCTTAAATGGCTGTGCTTGCAAAGTGAAATGAAGGCAGATTTGAAGGGAAGGATAGGGGGTAGAGGGGGCAGGTGGGCAGCCAGTCACTAGAGGAGGTGACACCAGAGGTGCTGCAATTCCTGTAATAAAGATTAATCTCCTGCAAAACAAAAACTCGGTGCTGCAGAGATGATAGGAAAATGCAACTCCCTTGTCTAATCACAGGCTGACAGGGGGGACAGCTTGCTTTATTAAGCGGAGAACACACAAATGTAATTTTCAACCAAGGTGTACAGTGTTGTCATGTATGCACTTCGTTGGGATTCTTCACAAATCCTGAGAATCTTGGTATCTTGAAGTGAGAAGCGGAAGAATCCTGCTGTGAAAGCCAGGAGCTTGGGAAGTATTCATGTCTGTTGTAGTCTTTGTTGTCCTGAATTTTCTTCCTGCAAGTTTTTGCTT